TTCCCTTTATCAGTTTTCAGGACAAGCTGCTGCCCTACCACCCTCAGGGGTGTGACGGGTCGTGTCCGGGTTCCTAGCACTGCAAAACAAACTGCCCAAAGTCAGTGACTTAAGACGACAACCATTTTATTTTATCTTGTGGTTTTGTGGGTCAAGAACTTGGGCGGGGCTCAGGCGAGCGTTCTTTTGCTCCATGTGGCACAGGAAGGTCCAAGAAGGCTTCCCTCATAGGTCTGGCACCCTGGCGGGCATGGCTGGCAGGCCAGGCACAGCTGCAAGTGCCATGCACAGCACCCACATGCAGCTTCTCCAGCAAGACAGTCCCAGCACAGTAAGGCCTCCCGCACCGCAGCTCCGGGCTCCTGCAGAGGGAGCTGCTGGTTTCCTAAGGTCCGGGCCCAGGCACCTACCATTTTGGCCTTGCTTTGGTCAAAAAGAATATGGAAGAAGCGATGGTGTGCCACCTCTGAAACTATCCTTGAAAGCTTCCACGTTCCCTGCTGGACCCCTGCTATCACCATGACAACAAGCCCAGGCTAGCCGGCGGGAAGGTGACAGACCAGCTAAGTACCAGCTGACCTACCAGGTGACAGCAGATGCGTGAGTGAGTAGCTAAGACAGACCAGCTAAGTCCTGCCAGGCCAAACGAACCACCCAGGCAAACCCGGAAACTCGTGAGCAATAAAAAATGGTTGTTATTTTAAGCCCCTAAGTGTTGTGGTGTTTGTTACACACCATTAATTTGGCAATAGATCACTAACACACCCACTCTCACAGTCACTGCTTCCATGTTTCGTGTTGCTTCCACGTCCTGTCTACATGCAAGTTATTTTTGCATAATTGTTATCAGAATACAAGTCGTTTCATGTTTTTCTTCATACTTGTTATACAATTGCCCAAACTGCTTTATAATTGTCATAATTATTTTAACGGCTGTACCACAACCCACTCAGTCAAGAAATTTACCTTTCTTCAACTATTGACCATTTTGTCTCCACTATTACAAACTAATTTTTAAGACTGAGAACGTACTCACTGCTTAAAACAGAAGCTCTTAAGATACCAAATACCCAAAGTTATACTGTTTAGTTCTCTCTCTCATTCTCTTTTTTGTTAATAGTGGCAAAATGCTTCTTATTTGGCATGAAGCAGGGAGATGCCCAAGTCCCTCCCCAAGCACCAAAAGGATGCACTGAGCTCCTGCTGAGCCCATGACAAGGAGCCGATCACTGCCAAGGTGAGCAGCGCACTGCATTGTCTGGGTCAGCCTTGTCTTCCGGGCTCCCACGAACAGGGCTCTGGGGGAATTATTTCACTTACGGTTGAGGGGAAAGATTACTAACTAGGCGCTAACCCGTACGCAGGTGCTGAATGACTCCATAAAGGCCTTCCCTACCCGCACTGCATCCTCCTGCAGGGCAATTCGGCTGTGGTTTAAAGTGCAGGGAGCTTTAACTGCTGCTGGGAGCAGAGTACAGTCACCCCTCTGACCACTGCTGGACATGGGAGTGGGAAGCTGGTCTGCCCTGCACCTGGGCTGGGCCAAGCTCTAGGGATGCTGGGATGAGCCAGGCAAGGTGCTCGGTCTCTAGGGGTTCACAGTAACATGTAAAGAGGAGACAGGTGGGAAAATCACTAATCAAGGCACACGGCATTTGCTGCAGGACACTTGAACAGAGCGGTATGGGAGCCAGCAAGAGGCAGAGGTGGCTTTGGGGACAGGCAGCACATGTGCCAGTACCTAAAGGACAGCGATGGCATGTGCTGACAGCAGCCGTCACAGGCACTGCTCCAAGCTTCGTACATTTAAACCTCCAACAACCAAATGTGCAGAGAGAGAGAGAGAGAGACATCCCTTTGCTAGTGGCCGCAGACAGCCGTGGAGGAACAGGCTGTGAAGCAGGCGCGACCTGGCTCCAGGGCCTAGATGTCTAATCTGTGGGTGCACTGTGTCTCCGAAGGACAAGCTGGCAGGGGCAGAGGGCACAGCACGGAGGAAGGTGCAGACAAAAGACATCTTAGTTCGTCAGCAGAGAAAAACGTGCAGCCTGCTACGTTGGGGGGAATGGGGGAGAAGCCGCTAGAGAGAAGCCGCGTCCCAAGGCCGCAGCGGGAGGGTGAGTCTTGGGGAGGGGGGACGTGTAGGGCAAAAAAGCCCCCAGAGACCCTGATGTGCTGCCCTCACCTCAAAGAGTCGCTGCGATGCCCTGGACCCAGGACTGCAGAGCCAGGGATGGCACAGGCAATGGCCAACCAGAGTAAGGTTTGTCGTGGGGTCCTGCCAGAGGGTGGAGGCTGCCCCGAGGCACGGAGCCCGCTTCAGAGGCCGGACTATCAACACCCAGGTGCCCGGCTGGGTAGAGCACCGCCCGGGGACAGTGCTAGATCACTGCTCTTCCTTCCCTAGTCTAACTCACCTTCCAGTCATTTTCAATTCAGTGCAAACAGAACCGTCTTGCCATCCGAGATGGACGCAAAGAGAAGGACAGAATCCTCTCCCAGAGTCTTCTCCCCAGTCCTCCTCCCGGGCAAGGACGTCGCCGACTTCCCCAGAGCAGACCCTGAGCACTGAGCAGCAGGCGCTGGCAGCGAGGCACGCCAGCCAGTGAGGGGGGCCCCGGGTTCTCACCCGAATCCCCAGTATTAACCACACTCGCCATGTGATGAACAGCAGTGTGGGCAACCCCACAGCGCGTGCAAACCAAGGGCTCCTGGCCGTGTGCGCAGGAAGTGCCGTGGGATGACAAACGTGACAGGAGGCGCATGCCGGCAGGGACACCTAGCTCTGGGACTGCCCTCTGCACGCAGGCGCCAGAACTGAGGACACTGGTAAGCTGGTGTGGAAATGATCGAAGCTTTTCACTTTTCACACTCACCAGTAAAAATTCCAGTCCTCGTTTTCCGCCACCTGGACCCATCCTCTCTTTTCAAAGTTATTTATCAGCACGGACTTCTCGATGTCAGTGACCCATTTCACTTTTCCTGCCATAATCCTGCAAGAGATCAACTGCTCAGAGCTTTGAAATATCAGCTCCTCCCACCCAAAGGAACCCTTCTCATCCCCCGAGCCTCCATCCCCCACCCAAGCTCAGCCCCCCACAATGGTTCTCAGGGGCCAATCCGTTCCCCCCGGGGACATTCAGCAATGTCTGGAGGCATTTTTTTTGGTCGCAACTGGAGGGGAGGGTATCTCTAGCATCAAGTGAGTAGAGGCCAGGGGTGTTGCCCCACACCCCACAACGTGCAGGATAGCCCCCACAACGAGCCACCCAGCCCGACTGTCAACTGCGCCAAGGCCGCGATCCTGGTCCAGAGGAGATGAAGGCGGTCATGAAATCGCCAGCAACAGGTGTTCGATCACAAGTGCGACGGGAGCCACAGAGAAGCACCTGGGGCAGGCGGCAGGTGGTAGGACGGCTCTGCCCAGGGCAGCTGGGGAAGGCCTGGAGCTGACTCACCTGGTGCGGGTGTCCCCCCCCACCAGTGCCCCGCGTCCTGCCCCCACGCCTCTGCACGTGCGGGCCTCTGCTTGCTGTCGCTCCCATTGGTTCCCCAGTGCACACGGACACTGCGGACCCCTGGCCCTCACCTGCTTTTCCAGGTGCATCTTGTGCCCCTCTCCCCTCCATCCACTCTGTCCTTGCCACTGGACCTCTCTTCAGCCTCAGGACCTTGGCACATGCTGGGCGTCTGTATGCAGCACCCGTCCCTCCCTCTGCCTGGTTAAGCCACTTCCCACCCCTCTGCCTGCACGTGTAAATGTCACTTCCTGCACAGAGCCCCCTTGCCCCTCCGACCGGACGCAACCCCGTATCTCTGTCCCTGCAGCTCTGTCCCTGCTCGAGGGCAAAGAGCTGGCTCTCCTCCAGGGCCGAGCACTGTGCTGGCAGATGGTGAGTGCTCAGTCCAGACTGACGGACAATGCTGCCAGGTCTGCCAGCACCTCTGTGGGACTTTGAGCAAGTTAGTTGACCTCTCTGAGCCTGTTTCCTGAAATGATGAAAATGGTTTTTGAACTGCTCGGGCGGCCCAGGAACCAGCTCTCACCCAGCTCCAGCCCGAAAGGCTGCATTCGTTATACTTCTGTGTACAACCTGATCTGAAGAAGGGGCTCCCTGAAAAACTAGGCTCGAAAGCCAGGGGCCTTCGGGGCCTTTTACGAATGGAGGCACCTCTTCCACAGACGGATGACAGCTTTGCTTCTGGGACAACCTGACAGGGCAGAAAAAGTGTGGGAGGTGGACATGGGCACCAGGTGTGCCTTGCCTGGGGAGAAGGAAAGAGAAGGCATCCGCCCGGCGGAGCTCCCGGTGCAGTCACACAGCCCACCCCGTCCTCACCCCGTGGAGGATCACAGAGGCGGGACCGTGGCGGAGTACGGGCTCCGGAGCCTGGGTCTGAGGCCCAGCGCCACCGCTCACTAGCTGTGTGACCCTGGGCCGCCTACTTGACCTTTCTGAACTTGTTTCCTTCTCTGTTACATGAGGATGACGATACCTACTCGTGTCACGGGGTTATAGAAAGGACTGAACACGTGAACACGTGAACATGTGTATGGTGCCAAGAACAGTGCCTGGTGCGGGGAGCGCACTCAAGAAATACTTGATGTTAATATCGTCATGTCCCCATTTTATGGATGAGGAAGCGGAGGCTCAAAAGTTAAGAGCCTGTGTTAAGAACCAGACCAAAGGGCATCATGGTGCTTTGATTCAAACCCAGGTGACCTTACTCTAAAGTGCCACCTCTTTCCACACAGCCCGCTGCTTCCCTCTGTGAACTTGGCCTTCATCAGGATGACAACAGCCACAGGATCAAAGTAATAAATAAATAAAATCCCTCTGCAAAGTCCAAGGTGCCACCTAACAACCACATAAAGTCATCACCTGATCGGTCAGAATCCACGTGGAGTCGCTGCCCAGAAATGATGGAGAAGCGGCACGGGAGCCTCGGCCCGCCTGCTGTGAACTCGGGTCCCAGCACTGAGCGAACCCCGCACGTCTCGCACACTTCAACCCGTTCGCAGTGTCAAAAGCCAGCACAGAGGGAGTCTCATCTCTACCTGATTTCGGCTGCCACAGCCCTGCCTCCCTGACGAATCCTGCCATGTCCTGCCCACACGAGTCCAACTGCGACGTAGGATTTAGGGTGAGAATCACCTGCCGGCCAGGCAGCACCCACACCACAACCACTGCGGCTGCACAATTCAAACGAACCTCACCGGGTGGCCTGACACCAGCCACTGACGCTCACCTGGGGATAACGCAGAAGCAAGAGCGAGAGGGGAAAACCATAAAGGCTCCATCTATATCTGCACTGAGCTTTAAAGTCATCAAATACTTCCAGGGGTAGGACCCCAACCCAATAAGGCCCACGGAGCACATGTTCTCATCCTCACTTTACTGAGCAGGAAATGGAGTCTCTGAGACGTACGGTTTTCTCCGCTCCCTCTATCCGCCAACCATCACTAAGGAAAACATCTCAGGCTGGACCTACCACATGGAGCCAACGGTAACATCCAATTTCTCTTCTGTTTCACTGACTCTGGCCTCGTGTCCTTCCCTAAAACACACACAGCACAAGATCAAAGACACTCTGACAGCCTAGCAAAACTGTGACTGACCAGAGTACTCAGTGGCTGGCGTCTTCTGTTTAACAAACATGCCAGAAGATGCCGTAAGGTTCTCCAGTTGTGATAAACATTTCTGAATTCTATTACTTATCGGCTCCTGCTGACGCATTGGCGGTGCCACGTCACCCCGTCCACTGCACACACCTCCTCACCGTTCCGTGCACGTGTCACCCTTCCCCACCCGCCAGCCTATGCTCGCGCCCTTCTCTCCCCCCTGCTTCTTACCCAACTCCCACCAGTCACGTGCGCACAGTTCAGAGGTCACTTCCCCTGGGGAGCCATTCTCATCGCCTTCGCTGGAGTTAACATTTCCCACCTCCGAACCTTCTGCATACCCGTCCTGACACCTCTGCTGGCACTCGGAACTTCCCACTTTGCGGTCTAGTCCTTTGTGTATATTCCTTGTATAAATGCGAGAGAGAAGAGACTCAGTCACCTGTTCTCCTCCTCCCACTGATTCTTTCTAGACCTAAGTGTGGGTATTTGCAGCAGAGCTCACAGTCGCCTGCTTGTTGGGAGCTGAGCTAAATTGGTGAGCTTTGAGGTAAACTATGGAGCTGAGCTAAATTGGCGAGCTTTGAGATAAGTGGTACTAAAACTATTTTAATCACTCAGCGCTTTCAAAGAAGGGAGTTGTGAGAACTGCATCTGTTTTGCAGGACGGGTAATTGGGCTGACCTTGAGTCTTGACTGCTGTTTTCTCATTGCAATGCTATAAGTAGTGTGTTTTGAATAAACTCGGGGACACGGACACAGACACAGCTTGAATCTGTGCTCCCTCCTGCAGTTCTGTCTGTCTTCTTTCTTTTCCTCAGTCCATGCTCCCCCTTTCAGGTACCCTGAATTACTTTGTCGGCTGGCTTCCGACACCTGCTCGACCCTACTACCCGGCACCTTGCCCACTGATACGTGAGCGGCACGCCGTAACTACTCACAGCGTGCATGCGTGCTTGCATAAGTCCTCAAGGGTCAGTCCTGTGAACCTGACTCTTCGCTCTCAATACTCCGTTCTGGAGATGTGTTACTGGTGAAACTGTGTCCCCCAAAAATATGTGTTGATAACCCGGGTACCTGTAAATGTGACATTATTTAGAAGTAGGGTCTTCGCGATTAAAATGAGGTCATTGAGGTGGACTCTAACCCAATGGTAGGTGTCCTTGTAAGGAAATTTAGACACAGACGCACACAGGCAGAGAACACCACGTGAAGACACAGGGACACACAGACACAGAGGGAAGATGGCCATGTGGAGATGGAAGCAGAGACTAGATTTACGCTACCATCAGCCAAGGAACACCTGGGGCTACCCGCAGGCAGAAGAGGCAAGGCTGCAGGAAGCGTGGCCCTGCCAACACCTTGATGTCAGACTTCTGGCCTCACTAAGCCACCAGTTTGTGGCGCTTTGATACCGCAGCCCTAGGAAACTACAAGAAAATGTACCCATACTGTCTACGGCCATGCCACCCTGAACATGCCCGATCCCGTCTGATCTCGGAAGCTAAGCAGGTAAGCAGGGTCGGGCCTGGTAAGTACTTGGATGGGAGACCACCTAGGAAGACCAGGTGCTGTAGGCATTTAAAAAAATAATAAAATGTACCCATACTAAATGAGAAATGTATGCCCATAAATTGTCTTTTTTGTATATATATATGTGTGTAAATGTATATGCATAAGAAAATGCAGTAAAGTGATGAGCAGAAAAACAGTCATTTATAGTTTGAAAAAAAAGGGAGAAATAACCTAAGGCCATGTCTCCTTTGAAGAGACAGAGGACCTCTTTTCAGAAATACGCTAACTCAGTGTGGAAACCACCACCAAGAATCGATGACAAGGTAGCCCAGGAAAAGCCAAAGAGGGGACAGCATCTCCCTCCACACATGACGCTCAGAGACCCAGTGCTGACGTGTCTGAGCGGCAGATACCGGCCAGTGCTCTTAGGGGCTCTGCCTCCCCAGTCAAGGAAATGGGGATGGACGCGACAGCTCCTTCACATAGTGCCAGGATGACTGCAGGGTCAGCAGGTGAGGACCCGCGCGGCACGTGCTCCAGCTGTTACCTGGACTTGAAACGAGTGCGCCACGCAAGAAAGGCTTCACCCTGACACTTGCCCTGACTGGACATGCACACTCCTCCGGGCCCGGGCCCCTGCTCGAGAGCGGGCCGCCGCCAGGCTCTGCGGTGATTAGATCAACCCAGCGGTGATGGGATCAACCCGCCCTCCCGGGGTAAGTACTAGTTACATATCAATATCATCACTAGAAACAACAGCTGCCACTTATTAAGCACTAGGGCGTGGGGGGCACTGGGTTGGATGGCTCGTGCCGATTCTCTCCGTTAAGTTAAGTCTATCAGGCTGACGGGCGCCCCAGGGAAGGCACTCCCTCATTTACCGATGGGGGAGGGGCCTGGGAGTAAGAGGCAGAGGAGAGGGTCATGCACACTGCGTCCCTCCCACACCATGTGTCAACTGTCGGTTTACATGTGTCTCCTGAGGCAGACTTCGACCCCCGCAGGGCAGGCAGCAGGCTCACTTGCTCTGTCCCCCAGCACTCAGCCATTGAGAGGGCTCAGAAATCAATCGTCTGCAGGACAAAGGAAGCAGCTGGCCGATCCCACAGTACAGAAGCCAGGGCTGACTCCTTCCCAGCCCTAAGAACTACTAAGCCCCTTTTCTTACAAAAGCAAATAAATACCTGATGTCAGATCGTTTTCTGGTCACCTCCTCCTAAAACAGAAAAAAAAAAAAGTGGGGTTAATGAAAAAGTGTGTAATGAATTTGAAACTCCCTCTCTACTGGTTCACGTGAACTAGTGCATCCGAATTTTAAGCCACTTGGCCAGCCACTTTCAACACAGCATCATCAAAGCCTAACCAGGAGAAACAGAGAGCGGTGTGCGGATCTTTACTCTGACCGCAGTTTGAAATCACGGTGGGTTGTCACCACCTGGGGTATGTCAGCAGCGGAGAGCCATCTTGAAACCAGACAGTTGTTGGTTATTTCGAGAACTCCTGGGGCAAGTGGGCAGGATCTTCACAAGCCAGAGAACAAGTTTCCACAGGGGTGGCCCCAGGCACCTGGGCCATCGACAGTCTAGCTTTTGTTCAGCCACTCTGAGCCCGGCCCAAGACAAGAGATAAAAAGCTACCTGGGACAAAGCACTGCTGGACAGTCCTGATCCAAGGGGGACGCCGGAGACACAACCAACAAGTGTAAGCCCCAGCGACAAAGTGCTTTCACAACCCTGCAAACACAGTTCAGCTGTGGCTCCAAGGAGGAAGGACCAGTAATTCGATCCAGCACTAAACCTTGTCAGCTCTACCACAGGAGATTCCAGATCCTTCTGCGTCTCTCCCCAGCGTCCCAGAGATCCTAGACAACCACAGCAGGCCCCAACTGGTTTCCTTAGTGCCATCCTCACCCCACTGCTACCCATTCTCCACCCAGCAGCAGGCTGATCTTTCTACCCATACGAAGCAAATCACATCGCTCTGCTCATGAGCCTACGGCAGCTTCCCATCGCACTCACATCGAAACTAGAGGTCTGCCCGTGACCTACATGGTCGCCCATCACCTCTTGGGCCTTGCCTCCTGGCACCCCTTCCACCCACCACCACCCATCTCCAGTCTCTAGCCTTTCCTCAGCCCCTCACATCCACCGAGCTGCATCCTGTCTTAAGGCTTTGCTCTTCCCCCATGTCTGGCCCCTTCTCAAAAGTCAACGCCTCAGCCTGGCTTTCCAATCTCCATCTCCATCCTCCCCACTTAGGATGTTGTCACCACTTCACAGCACTTACGCTGCACATAGCTGCAGAGTCTGGCACCAACTCAAAGCATAGCCCATGAACCTGAAGCATGGGCATCACCTGGAGTTTGCTAGAAATGTAAATTCTTGAACTCCCCCCACCATGATGCACTGAATCAGACTCTTCAGCAATGGGGCCCAGGAATCTGTTGAAGCTCTCAGATGAGTCTTACACATGCTCAAGTCTGAAAAGAAAAGGTCTAGTCCAGGCATTTGGTTCCTTGATTACCTGTCTTTCACACAAATCTGTCCATCATGAGAACAGGAACATGGTTCCATTTTGTCTCCTGCTGCATCCTCAGCTCTCAAAACAGTGTCTAGTAAAAGCAGGTGCTCAATCAATATTCGGTCAATCAACAAAAATGAAGACACGATTTCCCTCCGCACACCATTAGACACCATTGTGTCGAGCAGTGAACCAGACCCTGCCCAGACCTGCAGGGGACAGATACCGATACACTCACCCACAAAGACTGGGGCATGACGTAGGGGCTGGGAGTTTGGCTGATTTCCACTGAATAAGGGAATCTCTCAGGGAACATCCACACCTGCAACTCCAGGACAGAACTCGACCAAGAGGCCTTTCACATTCGGGAGTCAGGACTACTCTCAGACAAACGCCAAGACAACCTTCAGGGGGAACAGCAAGAGGGAAGTCATCTCAGCCACCCTTCTGGGTCCAGCCATGTAACACAGGAGCGCTCTCTGTCCTCATCCCCACTAGCCCCGACTACCACTATCACTTTCAGTAAAGTCCCAGCTAGGCCGGAATGCTGGGCATCTGGATTCTTTTCCTGTTAGTCTTCGAAAAGGAAAAAGCGCCACCTTTAAATAATAAATAACAATGTAAATGAGGACTTTATATCCGTGCAGCGCATTCCTTCACAGCTGTGTTGCCACCGCCTCTCTCCTCACTCCTACTGGGGGACAGTGCCATGCTCCACAGGACTGTTTACCCGTGCCTTGAGTGCAGGGGCTGGGCAGATCGTTTGCACGGCCATAACCTAGGACTGAAATGTGCTCACTGCTTCCCGAACAACAAACCGCTCTGCACACCCTAATCGGGTTACAAAGATACGATACTTTTACTTCCAGAATGAAAACTCCTATAATGCCCCAGCCACTCTATGGGGTGGATGACTACATCCATCCCCCCCGCCCCAAACCTCTCTAATTGATGGGAAAACAGAGAGTGGACATGCGTAGGTCCAGACGCCAGAGAGGTGAACAGGGCGGGGAACACAAGTCTCCCGTCTCCCGCCCAGAACTCTCGCCACAGGTGCACTGCGCCCTGCAAGACGCGGGTCCCGCAAGCAGCAGCTTAACCCCACGCCAGCTGCCGCCAAGACCTGGGCGCCTACGCTGGCTCGCGCGTGCGCACTCGCTCACCAAAGCACGGCCACACCCTCGGGCCTGGGAGGCGGCGGCCTCGGCGCGGGGCCTC